AAATTGATCATAAATGAAGATGTGGACGACAATGTTTGTCTAGCCATACTTATCCAGCTTGCATGTCGTTTATTTGTATATTTGCGTATGTATGTGTGTATGTGTTTGTATGTGTGTATGATGATTGTTCATGTGTGCATATGTGAATGTATTAGGTTTGAGTTGATTAATTACAAAAAACGTCTGTTTGCATAGATTAATTATTATTGACCAGCTTATATCAAGTTCGTCCATAAAGTGGATACTTTTTTGCTTAGCTACTTGTGGCTAGATTATAGCACGAACTAAACTCTAAAAATCATCCCAAAAGGAAGCGCAGAAAATTCGCAAAATTAAAATTACATAAACTTTTTCAGATAAGAATTAACAAGACAAAACATTAAAATCACCTCTATAAAACCTGGCAGGTAAAGAGTTTACAGCTTACTTTTCTTCAAATCTTTTAGACAATATCTTCTGTGAGGATGGATGGCGCTGATGAAATTTATCGAGTTGGGTTGCTGTTGCTGATGTGAAATTGGCCGGAGGAGGTAGTGTGGGTGGGTAGAAATAGAATAAGAGAGAGAGAGAGAGAGAGAGAGAGAGAGAGAGAGAGAGAGAGAGAGAAAGTGTGTGTGTGGGTGTTGTGTGTATTTGTGTGCAAAGCAAACGTGTTATTCTCACATAAATGAACGTGTATCTTATCTAATCGATTAAATTTTATTTAAGAATTTTCAAACTGAACGTATAAGACGCGCTGCTTTCAATCTTTCAACTTTTGTAATATTTCAAAGATGAAGTTGTATTGTAATAACAATGATAACAATAATAATAAATATTATAATTATTTTGTTTTATTTGTAAGAATATTTATTTATTGAAATCACTTATTACTTATAAATTCCTTAGAGTTATGCTCTGTTAATGTTATAGATGCTACCGATATTTGCTTTGTTGTTATCATTATTCTATCCTAAGCATTAATGCTATTGCTCCATTAGTAGAAATTATTATTATTACTGTTATTTTTTTTTAAATATTTTTATTAGAACTTATTATTTATCAGTATTTAAACTATTTTTTGAAAAAATAATTAATATTTAATAAAATTTTTTTTCATAAACACGGAGCAAGATTTGTAAACGTGCCTTACATGTTTGTTTTTATTGTATATTTGTATGTGTGTTTGTATGTAGATATGTGTGTATGGTTATTGCATATATGTATAGTGTATGTATCTATTATCATATACAAGTTTAGTATGTACGTATCTATGTATGTATATGTATAAGTGAAAGGATGGATAGATTGATGTGTTGACAGATGAATGTATGTACATTGTACACATATATGGATGGATGCATATGTGTTTGTATGTATGTGTATATGTATATGTTTGTATGTATGCATGCGTGAGTCTATGTACGTTTTTGTATATATACATGGATAAATTAATGTATAAATAGATGAATGAATGTATATATTTGGTATGGATGTGTGTGTATGTGTGGGCTTGTGTTTGTATGTATTGTAAGTGAAGAAAGTTCGATGTGTAAAAGTAAGGTGTATGTTATGTTGCCTGGAAGATGTTTGTTTAGTATTCAGTTGAATTACTTGCCTCTATCTAATTTGCGGGTCGATGATTGCATGATGGAGAGAATGTTGATGAGATGGGGAGAAAAAATAAGATGGAGGAATGAGGATGATGATTATGATGATGGTGGTGACGATGATGGTTTTGATGATGATAATTTTTGAGGTTAGTTATCATCACTCTTTAATTTCTCGAAGGCCCCGTTAGATGGGTCAGTTGAATAAATGAGTACTTGTATCAGCACTCAAAATAGTTATTATTATATGATGATGATAATGATAATGATAATAATAATAATAATAATAATAATAATAATAATAATAATAAACGTTAAATAAACAAAAACGCAATGTGGAAAAAGTTATGGAGCAACTTCAACTCTAAATATTTAGTAAAATTCGTAGCATGCATATTATAGTTTAACACCAAACAACACCGCCAACAGCTTAACAACAGTCACGATGCTTGAAAAGTCAACAAAAGCAGCGCTAAAACTACGACTCCGGTGGGACTCGAACCCACAACCTCCGAATTACATCTTCAACCACTAGAAGTCCGACGCGCTATCCATTGCGCCACGGAGTCTTACGCGTTCACAACTCGTACAAATGCCGTAAACAAAGTGTGGCATGTTTAATTATTGAACATTATTACTAAACTTTAATAGTAACAAGCAATGGATAATTTACTATTAGCATAACTTACTAAGTCATCATTATTTACACAAGTTCTATGTATTAAAGAAAAATAGAGAGAGAGAGAGAGAGAGAGAGAGAGAAAGAGAGAGAGAGAGAGAGAGAGAGAGAGAGAGAGAGAGAGAGAGAGACGTTATTAAGTTGTGCTGCATTCTTATTTAATATCTCATCTTATGATGTTCATCATTTCCGTAGAATGTTATAGTATGACCGATGGTTGTTGAAACGTCTTATTTATTTTCAAATTTTAAATAGTTAAATTACATACATAGCCCAAATTATCAATATTTCAAAATTCCTTGTGAACATCGCTGTTGAACATCGCGGAAATAGCGCTTTATAAGCTAATTGATTGATTGAGTGATTGATTGTTAGGATATTTTGGAAAATTTCAATCTATGAATGTAAATGTTTACAAAATTAGTTTAGCCAAAAATTTTTGTCAGAATTAATTCAATTTTAATCAAAAAATATTCATTAATCCGTTTCCATGCTATTAAAAACATTAATTTTTATCAGTGTTTGATAGAAGGTTGATGAACTTATTAATAAGCAAATTAATAAATCTTACACTTATTGAGAAATTGATTAAAAACATTCAATAAAACAAGCTAACTAAGAATATATACATACGTATTTACATACATACATACATACATACATACATACATACATACATACATACATACATACATACATACATACATACATACATACATACATACATACATACATACATACATACATACATACATACATACATACATACATACATACATACATACATACATACATACATACATACATACATACATACATACATACATACATACATACATACATACATACATACATACATACATACATACATACATACATACATACATACATACATACATACATACATACATACATACATACATACATACATACATACATACATACATACATACATACATACATACATACATACATACATACATACATACATACATACATACATACATACATACATACATACATACATACATACATACATACATACATACATACATACATACATACATACATAACATACATACATACATACATACATACATACATACATACATACATACATACATACATACATACATACATACATACATACATACATACATACATACATACATACATACATACATACATACATACATACATACATATTATTATTATTAATATTATAGAAAAATTTATAGAGCGCCTTTTAAAAAGTTACTCAACAGCTCACTCAAATATTATCAACTGTAATATTGTCCACAGGAAGAAGTATCGAAATACAAATAAAAATATAACGTTTCTTAGTTCATATTATCAACTATAATATTGTTCATCAAATAAAGTATCAAGATAAAAAATCTTTAATTCTTTTTTAAACCGCACCAGTGATATTCCAGGTCTGCGGATGTTGTACGGAAGATTGTTCCATTTCTTCGATCCACAAAAAGCAAAACTCCTAGACCCAATTTTCAATTTAGCTGTCAGAATTTTTAAATAGTTCTGATCATTTGATTTTAAAACAAAGTTTTGTGAATTCGTATCCTTCAATGCAAACATATTCGACAAGTATTGTATATATAGGATTAAGACTGTCAGAAATGCCATTTTTGATGAAAATCACAGCTTGTTAGGCGTGTGTGCGTGTGTGCGTGTGAAAATAAAAATAAATAAATAACAAGTTGATGAACTTATTAATAAACAAATTAATAAATCTTACAGTCATTGAGAAATTGATTAAAACATTCAATAAAACAAGATAAGAAATTTATATATATATATATATATACGATACGAATTCATCAAAAAACTTTATTGAGAAAAAAAAATCGAAAAAAACGAACTACAAACATATTAACGCCAATCATTCGGTAGAATTTATAGAATATTGTAAATATATATATATATATATATACATATATATATATATTTTTATATATATTTTTATATATTTATATATATATATATATAATATATATATAATATATATACACCACACACACAAAAGCATAAACATGTCTAACATGAATATTTTTCTTCAAAATTAAAAAATTATTTTTCCAATAAAAAAAATCTTATATGTATGAATTATTACTTATCGATTTAATTTTAATTAAATTTGGTTAATTCATTTATACGCCCGACACACACGCACACACACAGACGCGCGCACACACACACCCACACACATATATATGTATAGGTATATATATATATATATATATATATATATATATATAATATATAATGTATAAATATAAATATATATGTGTGTGTGTGTGTGATGCGTGTATGTATGTGTGAATAATTGTATGTACCTTTACATATCTTTATACTTTTATACATATTTATTAACGTAGTATATAAGATTTTAGCATCTGTGAGACAACACTTTAGCCAAGGTTTTGAATGGTGAGGTGTTTTTGTGTCCGTGTGTGTGTGCGTGTGTGGGTGTGTGTGTGTTTGTGTGGTGTGTGAGTGGTGCGTGTATGTGTGTGTGTGTGAACACTGAACAGCTATATGTACTTATACAGATTTTTCTACACATTTATTAACGTTGTATATAAACATTTACTGAAAAGACTATATAAATGGCCGAACTGGGTACCTCTATAGTTAAATTTTCAATTGATGAAACTTCGTTGAGAAATATTTTTCAGGGGAAATATTTTTGTGATAAAAGGAGAAAGAAAAAGATGGAAAGAATATTTATGTTGACTTATCTTCTGGTGGGTATGACGGTCAGTTTGTCGGAGCAGGTTGTTGGTTAGTTAAGGTTTTTGTTGTAGTGTAGCTCATTATTCATTATTGTTGCTGGGTGCTGTTGTTGGCTGTCTTTGTTTTTGTTAGTGTGGGTTGTTTGGTGTTTTTATATAAAAATTTTTGTTTTTCGGTGGATTATCATGTTTTATCATAGACATGTGTTTGTATTTTGATGTATTTTTGCATGTCTTTGTATCTATACTGACCGCTTTTTGTTGCTTGGTCATTTGGTTTGCCCTTGAATGCTGTTCAATTATGCTGATTTGTTCAAATATCGATAAATATAGAATCATTACTTCTGACATTAATTATGATTATTAAACAAAATGTAACACTCAAACATTGATGTAACACTTAAACATTAAATCATGTGCCAACAAGTAGAGAAAGCACAAAAAGTAATACGGGGTGTGTGATGGCCTCACTGGTTTATAACCTATTGCTTTATTTCCATTTTTAAAAATTAAATTATTTCGATTCTATTTGTTTACGAAGCATTGTTTTCACGAATGTTTCATTAAAATATACCCCGACAGGTGCCAACTCATGTTTAAATGCGGAAAAGCTGGCCTACGCATGGGATTTCAGTAAGATCCATATCCTTATTTGTTGGAAGATTTTCACTTACTTGTTGTTTAATGTTTTGTATGTTTAATTGTTTAAATTATTGCTTTCAATAAATATAGCTATTCATTTATTCTTCGATCTCTCTATGAATATATTTATCTAAACATCAAAATCTCACTTTAACAGCTTACGAAGTCTGGTTAGCTAATCATCCAGTCTTTCAGAGTGGAACTTGGGGCGATGAAAGACCAGAAAAAGCTATCGACAACGATGTTTTCACTTACTCAGTTGCTTGCGTTGCGTGCAACGAAGCGACCGTTGTAGAACCTGGCTGGTGGATGGTTGACCTGCTTGCTGAGACACCAGTTGCTGGAGTCGTCCTCGTCGCTAGTCACGATGACTCTAGTCTGCTGTCATTTGATCTGTTTAAAAATATTTTTATACAAATTAACTTAATTTATAATTAAAATATATTTTTATTTAAATGTTATTACTGTAGAACTATTTTTATACATTTTTTTCAGACGCCCGTTATCTCAACGACTTCGACATTCTCCTCACCTCAACCGACAGCCCAAATTTCAGCGAAGAAAGATTATGTGCAAGTTATGAAAGTAATTCAAACACATTGGCTGGATCAACACTGGCACTCCCTTGTACCAACCAGACGACACTGGGAAGGTACTTGGTGGTGAGGAGGAAACCAACTGCCTCCTTCAGACCTGATGCTATCGCCATCGCAGAGATCAGAGTTTTCGCCAAATCTTCTCGCACTGAAAGTTAGGGCATTTCTATTTGTATGATAATAACTTTTTGACAAATTTAATTATCTAGATATATACGTACTACGTACATTTTTACTTGTTTATGGTGAGTGTTTATATATATAGTAATTTTTTATTAAATTTCAGATAGGGATTGTCTGAGGTCAACACTTAAACCTGGCGAGTTTAACACAATTTTTAATTTTATTGTCTGATTTTCATTCAAATATTTTCTTGTTCGTAGATGTTAAAAATAATTACAGAGGGTTATATAATATTCAGACGGCATATCTGTAAAATCAATTAAGAAACATTATTTTCAAAATAAAATAACAAATTTCATGTAAAGGTATCTGTTTTATAACAATATATGAACAACACACACTGCACACCGTACATTCATTAACAAATATTCTGACAGAAAGGCTTGTCTACAGTTCAGATTTCAGTAAGTCTCAGGATTACTTTTTATACTTAAAATTTTGAATAATGTTTAACAAAATGAAATTTCTTCAAATCAGCTTTCGAGGTAGATTTAGCGGGCCACCCTGTGGTACAGAGTAAAACATGGAGACGTGAGAAACCTGAAAAAGCCATTGATAACGACATTCAAACATTCTCCGTCGCTTGCACTACTTGCGATGAAACACTCTCATCTGAACCAGGGTGGTGGCTGGTCGACCTGCTCGAGGAAACTCCTGTGGCCGGTGTCGTCCTTGTGGCCAGTTCTAATGACTACGGTTCGGTTGCTTCTTTGTTTGTTTTGTTTGCTTGCTTGTTTTTATTGTTCGGGAAAATATTTTAAAAAGATTTAAAAACCTGCTGTTGAACATGAAAATTTGTAAAAAGGTTCTGCACAATTTGACAAAACGTTAAGTAAACTGTACATGAACTGTATAATTTATGATGAAATAAATAGCGAATAATGAACCATGGCGGAATAATTTTTATTTATTACTACAACAACAACAATTGTAAGCATTCGTTAACACGGCCTTTTCAAAATAATGTCATCCCGTCTTATATTTTTATCTCATACAGATGCCCGTTACCTCAACGACTTCGACATTTTCCTCACTTCAACCATCAGTTCAGATCCCAGCAAAGGAAGATTATGTGCAAGTTATGAAAGTAATTCAAATACGACGGCTGGATCAACACTGACCCTCCCTTGCACCAACCAGACGACATTAGGAAGGTACTTGGTGGTGAGGAGGAAACCAACTGCCTCCTTCAGACCTGATGCTATCGCCATCGCAGAGATCAGAGTTTTTGCCAAAGCTTTTATTGCAGAAAGTTAGGGCATTTGTGATTTTTATGATAATAACGTTTTGATAAATTTAATTATCTAGATATATACGTGCTATTAATACATACATTTCAGTTGTTAATGATGAGTGTTAATATATATCGTGATTTTTAACTAAATTTCTTGTTAAAATTTTCCCCAAAATTTTAATTCTTCGCATCCGAGCAATTCAAAATGTTAAATAACCTTTGCAATTGTATATTTCAGTTTCAGTTCAAGCAAACAATGATGTTTTTCGTTGTTGGAAGGTAACTCGCTTGATGAATTACCCTGGCCTTACACAAGCGCCTTACTATGACTTACAAACTTGTCTTTCACGCTGCATCTTTTTGAACGTATGCAAAATCGTAGATTACAACCCAGATGTCAGTCCACCGTGCTTTTTACAGCAGTTTGAAGGCTCCTTTGTGAGGGACCGTTTGGTGGCAAATGAATTTAACAACAACTATATCTTAGATAGGGATTGTCTGACGTCAACACTTAATCCTGGCGAGTTTTTGCATTTATTTCTTTTGTGGTCTGATTTTTATTCAAATATTTTCTGAAGCGTAAATGTTAAAAATAATTACAGATGGTTATATAATATTCAGACGGCATATCTGTAAAATCAATTAAGAAACATTATTTACAAAGTAAAATAACAAATTTCATGTAAGGGTATTTGTTTTATAACAATATATGAACAACACACACTGCACACCGAACATTCATTAACAAATATTCTGACAGAAAGGCTTGTCTACAGTTCAGATTTCAGTAAGTCTCAGGATTACTTTTTATACTTAAAATTTTGAATAATGTTTAACAAAATGAAATTTCTTCAAATCAGCTTTCGAGGTAGATTTAGCGGGCCACCCTGTGGTACAGAGTAAAACATGGAGACGTGAGAAACCTGAAAAAGCCATTGATAACGACATTCAAACATTCTCCGTCGCTTGCACTACTTGCGATGAAACACTCTCATCTGAACCAGGGTGGTGGCTGGTCGACCTGCTCGAGGAAACTCCTGTGGCCGGTGTCGTCCTTGTGGCCAGTTCTAATGACTACGGTTCGGTTGCTTCTTTGTTTGTTTTGTTTGCTTGCTTGTTTTTATTGTTCGGGAAAATATTTTAAAAAGATTTAAAAACCTGCTGTTGAACATGAAAATTTGTAAAAAGGTTCTGCACAATTTGACAAAACGTTAAGTAAACTGTACATGAACTGTATAATTTATGATGAAATAAATAGCGAATAATGAACCATGGCGGAATAATTTTTATTTATTACTACAACAACAACAATTGTAAGCATTCGTTAACACGGCCTTTTCAAAATAATGTCATCCCGTCTTATATTTTTATCTCATACAGATGCCCGTTACCTCAACGACTTCGACATTTTCCTCACTTCAACCATCAGTTCAGATCCCAGCAAAGGAAGATTATGTGCAAGTTATGAAAGTAATTCAAACACGACGGCTGGATCAACACTGACCCTCCCTTGCACCAACCAGACGACACTGGGAAGGTACTTGGTGGTGAGGAGGAAACCAACTGCCTCCTTCAGACCTGATGCTATCGCCATCGCAGAGATCAGAGTTTTCGCCAAAGCTTTTGTTGCTCCAGATAATGGTACTTGTAGTAAATGGATAATAACGTGATACTATCAATATTATCAATATATTAATCTCATATTCTTTTTAAAAAGCAAATTATTTTGTTGAAAATTTCAAAAAAATAAACATCGCAGAACCTGTTCAGATTTTTGATGCTACAAAGCTGATGAAAGGTTCAAGTGGGATTTATTACTTTATTAGCAGATTTTTTAATGGATAATGTTTGTCATTAAATTAATTCTTGTTTTGAAGCTGAAAGAAACGTTTTGATGATATTGTACATACATACATGCAAGCATTGATTTCACGTTAAGCGCAATCTAGCATTGTTCTTCAAGTTTTTGCTGCTATTGTTATGTTTATGGAATTGGTTCAAGCTGTATATAGTACTACACTTGAAACATTTTCAGAAAACCAAACTGTAACTTCGAGGGCGATCCAGAGTGGAACCTGGAACCATTTAGAGGCCTACCTGGCAGTTGATGGCAAAACCTCAACCTGGTCCACCGCCGTCACTTCACTCGACCCAACCTGGGAAGGACAACTTGCTTGGTGGCAGCTGGATCTTGGTGCAGTTTACAATGTCACCGGAGTCTTCATAACCAGCAGTTCGGATTACACCAGTACGACATTTTGAAAAAAAATCCCTTTACTTGTAAATGTTATATTATGTCAGAATTGCAGTAACAACACTTTAACAAAATTCGAATGTTCAAGAGTTTTGCAAAAACTTTGACAACAACAACTACTATAATAAAAAAATAATTAATGTGATTATGATAATGGCATTAAATAAGTAGAAATAGTAATACTAGTAAAAAATGTTATTAAACTGAACAATAAACAGATGCCCAGTATTTGAAGGACATCATCATTGACGTGCTGATGAAGAGCAGACTGGACAGCGCATGGAACGTGGAGGCCAAACAGTGCTTCAGCTTCAAAGGTGATGTGGTGCCTGGTGCCACTGTTTTCTATAAATGTGACACTTCAATTCCTGGTAGATTCGTCCTCATTAAACGTGCAGATGTAGAAGCTTACAGGCCTGATGCTCTCTCCTTAGCTGAAGTGCAGGTTCAATACAATTGACCTCCGGGTAAAAGACTTTCTTTCTGAAATTATTAAGTCGCATTTCTTTATTTTTGAGTTTAATTTTTAATTTTCTAAAATTATTCAGTCACATTATCTTATTTTTAACTTTAAATTAATGATTTGAACTACGCGACATGATATCTTTTAGTTTAAAAAAATGCATCAATTAGCATATTTATTCAAGTCACTCTTTGCAAATAATGACCATTTCCTCTGCATGTTTCCCTGCATATCAATTCAATGTTGGTGTTGGTTTTAATTTAAATAAATAAAATTTATCCTACGTGATTTCAAATGGTTGTCGTGTTAAAATGTTCCTATCGAGGGAGGCTAACTTAATTACAAATATTTTTATATTTTTTCTGGACGCTTCCAGTCTCAAAACCTGCACCTTTCTGTGCTACACACACACACACATATACACACACAAAAACACACAAAAACACACACACCACACACATATACACATACAGCACAAACATACACACAAACACACACACACCTAAAAATACCTACTAACAAACAGATTCATACAATTTAATGTAAATCCCATACATTCACACACATTCTCGAACTGATACACACGCATAACGACACGAACGTGATTGGACGTTTAACATTTTGGAGACCAATTTCATTGAAAATCACACAAAGGTACATTCGTATACAAAGTGATGACAAACGGTTTATACTCCACAGATTCAATTGAAACACTACACACACAAACATCACACACGCGACGGTTTACCTGTAATGTAGTGAATAAAGACTATTTTGTTGGTCATTAGCCAGACATTCATGTCAATTTTTTGTGTTCGTATCGCTAGCCATTTTTTTAAACCTTGTTACATTACGATCTTACATTATTAATATTAATAAGCAATGAATTCCATTTACAATTATTGACACTCTAAAACGCATTAATTATAATATAAATAATTGATTAATAGTAAAATTTAATTAATTAATTGTAAAGATAAATTGGGATTCAATTCATTACAACCATGGCATTAACTTCGTCATTCACAACAATAAAGCTGAACAACGTCTATAGCTCGAAGCGCATGAACACAAAAACATTCCATGGAAATAAACATGTTGAAAAACAGAAAAAACAACAAAATTATAAGAAAACAAGATCAAAAAACTACATGACTGACACAACAACACATCTTTTTACACAAAAACAACAACACAGCTCTCGGAACGCACGAACCAAACAAGCCACACACAAAAGCACTGTTCTTTACATGCACAAAAACCAAACAACACACACAACTACGCAACACAACAACACACCTTTTAACACGCGACACAAACACAACAACACAGCTTTTATTTAACACACAACCAGCCAAACAACACATGTACGATGATGTTTACCTAACACTCACCGAACGCATTTTTTATTTCATTTGTTGCCGGAGCGCCGTAGCTGTGTTGATAATAATAATAATAATAATAATTATTATTATTATTATTGCTGTTGCTGTTGTTGTTGTTGTTGTTGTTGTTGTTGCTGTTATTTTCAGGTTAAAAATAATACTTTTATAATATTTTTTATTGGTTGCTAAAAGGCAAATCAATCAAATCTATAAATATTATTTCAAATAGCGCTCTCTTTACAACAAAGAAACATCTCCAAATCCATTATCACCCTCAAATTATTATTATTTATTATTACTATTTTTTTTATTATGATAACTATAATTAAATAATTAATTACAATTAAATCATTTGAACGAATCGACGCATGGAATTTTATTAGTTCGCTAACATTTTTTTTTATTGATCTATTCAACTTTAACCATCGTCATCAGTTATTTTTCTTACATTTTGCTCTATACCTACGCAAATACATAATAAAATACTATGATCGAAACACAAAGACACACACACACACGCGCGCGCGCAAATACAAACAAGCATATATACATATATACACAGTATATACAGATGTGTGTAATATATACATATATATTTTAGTTTATCAGAATTTACAGTGGAAACTTTTGATACTGGGAGTAAATCTATTTGGATTGAAGAAATGTAGATAGTTTCCTAAGTGGGAATGTTTCTAGTGTTAACGTTTCTCAGTTTTCTGTCGAGATTCAGTCTACTTTAGTTAATTTATATCAAAAGCCGTTAGTATAGCTACCGTGATATTGATGACAAACCTTGTTCAGATGAATTTTTGAATACCTAGATTCAGATGTATGCTGGCTGATGGCATTTTAATTCATGGGGCTGACTCTCTGACTGAAGTTGGTTTTGTAGGTATCTTCTAAGATTGTTGAGTGCATAAATTTCTAATAAAAATGTTATCGTCTTCTACTTAATCCGAATAAAACTAAAATGATGTAGATTGGTTCTAGAATTTTTTTCGATATAAATGTATTTAATAATAACAACAACAATAACAACGACATCAATAATATATATATATATATATATATATATATATATATATATTACATACATATTGATATACATATATATGCCTCTGTTCATATATGTATGTGTGTGTGTATATAACATCTTCATTTGTGTAAATCCTTTAAAAAGCCGGTAAGCCAGTCGAGTTTTTCTTATCGAAGCAAACAGACGCTCATTTACAATTATATTAATAGGTAGATATAATTATTTTATATAAAAGTTAGTATATTTATATATAATTAATTGTGTTTTATGTTTTTTACATATACAAACATTATCTGTAATTATTATTATAAATATTTGAATGAAATACAAATTCTATATGATATAAAATTATCGTAGAATTAATAACAAATTTTTGTTTGGAAAGCGTGCAAAGCTGATGAAGATGCTGTTAAAGTTATTTGGAGTGCTACTGTCGACTGTCAGCTTGTTCGCCATTGCCGTTGGTGAGTATGTTGGAATGGCTTTGTCGTTCGTTTTGGTGAATGGCTGGTTGTGGCTGTTCTTTGTTTGTTTGCTTGTATTTATGTATGTATGTTTGTTTGTTTGTTTGTTGTTGCTTGTTCGTAATTTGTTTATTTGTATGTGTTGTTTTTTGTCGTTCTTTATTGATCATTTTGTTGTTGTTAACTATTTTCTTGCTTTGTTTGGGTTGTAGCACTAATTTTGTTTTGTAATAAAATACATTTAGTTGTTTGTTACTCAATATATCATATTTTAAATGAATATTTTATAATTATTAATATATCAAAATGAGAAAAATTTTGTTTCATTTTTTTAATTTCTTCTCAATGATTCTGCAAAGAAAAAAAACAATACACCCACGGTGAAAATAATCGCAAGACCGTCACTGCACTAGAGACTGCATTTTTTTTATTCATCTCTATATTAATTAGATTATAATATAAATACACTCCAAATATTATTAGCACTCATTTATCGGTGGCACATCAAACTTGAAAAAATACCGTTGACTCATTTTTTCCCCAGTGACAAACTCCACCTTCCTCATCCCACTGACAAACGCAAATGCAACCCAAAGCGAGACATGGCAAACCCATAACGCAAGTCTGGCCATAGACAATGATGTAACGACGTGGTCGGTGGCCGCTTCACAGGCCACTCCAGGAGCCATCGGTTGGTGGAAGGTGGACCTCGGCCAAACCTATGACGTCAGTGATGTGGCTATAACAAGCAGTTTAGATTTTTATAGTTAGTACAGCTTTTATTTCCATTTGGATGGTTTTTTTGATTGCTAGACATGCTCTTCACATCCTGTGCATGTAAATACGCACTTGCTTGTTAAATATACAAATAAGATTGTACGCGAATGAATATGTATGTATGTGCGCCTGTGTGTACGTCCACGTACGTGGGTCTGGGTGTGTGCGTGTGTAGGAAAATATACATGGCACATGTGAGTGTTTAGTTGATTAGAATATGATTTCCTTATACACATAGATGTACGTAGATTTTGTGTGATTCATAACATTGTCATTGTTACTGTTATTCATAACATTATTATAGTTATTATTATTATTATTATTATTGCCGTCGTTAAGTGAACTTATTAATATTCAATAATCGTTTTTCAGTGTATTAGTTTGGTGGTCTGGTCTGATTTAGCTGATTGATTGGTCTCATGGTTAACTAGATTGTATTATTATTATTATTAATATTATTATTTATTATTATTATTATTATTATTAGTAGTAGTAGTAGTAGTAATAGTAGTAACCGCAGCAGTAGCCATAGAAGTAGCAACAGCAGTAGCGGTAGTAGTCATAACTAGTGTTTAATTTCGATTTAATAAATTTCAATTTAATAAATTTTATTAATGCCAAAAAGATAAATATCTCAATTGTTCTATTGTCAATACATTGCTGGTTAAAATATGCGCATGTGATGTGAATATAATAAGCATTGGTATTCGTTTAAACAAAATATGATGATTACTACAAAGACAACGATTGTGAGAAGTTTGAGATGTATAAGAAAAATTCTTCTAATGTGTGGTTTGATAAGCAGCGAATAAGCGTGATTATTTTTGATGAAATGAAAACAGAGAGAGAGAGAGAGAGAGAGAGAGAGAGAGAGAAAGAGAGAGAGAGAGAGAGAGTGGAAGATACCGAGACAAAGATAGAGTCAGGGAGAGACTGAGAAAGAGTATTAACGTTGTTACAACATTGTATCTTTGCAAGTTTATGTCAATAAATTGTTAATGGAGTGAATTGTGCATTGTATTGGTGTTATTAATAATATTTTTGTATTATAATTTTATCCTTTTCTGTAATGTTTATTAATGTGTTTAAAGTATTTTCATATTATTGTAATGTATTGTTAATTTTTTACACAACGTTGTTAATGTAATGTTGGTTTCCGAATGAATTGCATTTAAGAACGGCGGCAATCACAATTATGTGAGTGTACCTAGGTACAGGATATTAAATCTAAGGAAACTTGAACTAATTAATTCGCCAAATTTCTTTATTTATTTATTCATTCTTTCATTTTATTCATTCATTTATTCTTCGTTCGTACGTTTGTTCGTTCGTTCGTTCATTCACCGTCCTTGTTTGAAATCTTCTGTTTTTCCAATCAATACTTTCTCCCTCTTCCTACATTCTGTCTGAATTCATTCAATAATAATCTCATAAATCTTGATCAATCGTTATTTTAATCGAATACAAATTATTTTTCAGTATTTTTAAATAATTTATTCATTAAATTATATTTATTTATTATTTATTTTCTTATTATTTTACTTATAATCTTTGATTTTCATTTGTGTATCTCTAATCAATTTTATCTTATTCACTGTACATTTTTTCATCAATCGCTTGCACCTGCTACAAGGTATTTTCATGCCAGCACAATCATACTTTATATATGTATGAACTGAAAAAGTTTTGTAAAAATAACAATTATCTCTAAATATCTTTATGAATTATACAAAATCTGTTGAAATTATAATGCAAAAAAATTTTTAAGGCTCGCCACTGATAATTTTTTTAAATTCATAATAAACTATTCAATGTTTGGTACGTCGCTGTAAACTCCATTTAGTTGGCTATTTTAGATAAACTTGGCCATAAAAGAAAAAGAAATGACCTAAGTGAGCCCTTAAAAAAGTTAAAAGGTTAAAGGTCTTCTAAAGTTCAGAGAAATAAACAGCACAAAAACAGCGTTTATGAATACGTACTCTTAAAGCACTCATCCTTTTCCGAGACTTATCATTTGATTTCAAAATCCGAAATCAATTCTCATTAAGTAATGATAAATTATACTAATACATAATACACATACATATACATATACATAAGAATAGTGAAATCTACGCAAATGTTGATAAGATAACTTTAAAATCAAAAACCAAAAACCAAAAAAAAAATTATTAGAACCAATTTCTTCCTCTATCAACAGACTCAATGTATCTTCAGGCCTTTGCAATTAACGTGACAACAGAAGCAGGGTTAGATACATTGTGCTACTTATACAATAGTACCATCAGCATACCAGTTGGTTCTACTTTTTTATTAACATGCTCCCAAGGGCCAGTTACCGGCAGGTTACAAAATTTTTTATTTGATTTGAATAAAGACATTTTAATTTAATTTTTTTTATCAATCTTGTTTTGTAATCAGTGAATGGTGTCTGTTTTTTAAGGAGGAAACAAATTTTTGATTGAATCAACCCAAATCAAATCAATTTAACACTAGCATGCAAAATAAAATCCCGCTAAACTACAATTAATAAACTATCATATCCTATCATGAATGTATCATTTCTATCATATGTGTATCATTCCACTATATAGTTGGCATATCATTCCAGCATACTGTTAATGTAATACAACGAGAATGGGACATTCAAGTATTTAATATCTCAGGTATGTGGAGGTATGGAGGCTGCCAGGTAGCACATTTAGACAAGATGGATTGGCCATCGCTGAAATTAACATATACGCGAGTAACATTAGATCAGGTAGATTATTGCTATCTTATATTATTGATTGGATAAAATTTTAACAATTGAACGAACTCGACGCAAAATATTGATCTGAAACAAACTTGTTAAATAATCCTTTGTTAAAATTTTATGCTGGCAGGTGGAGTCTCGAATTATGAAGCAGAGAAATTGGTTTATGGAGCCGATCTTAGTGAGATCAATACTATAATTTTTTCGAACTTGAATTTGTTTTTAAATCATCAAATTTGATCTTACTTTCTCATCTTTTTCATTTTTTTGTTCATACATACATGTACGCACATATAAAATTATTTTTTACTCAGAACATTCTAAACTTATTTCCCATTAGTAAATACCTTAATCACCCTGACAAGGTTATGAAGTGTCTCTGGCCAACCATCCAGCATACCAGAGCAGAACCTGGGGGTTGGAGGGCCCTGAAAAAGCCATCGATAATAACGTTACGACATTCTCCGTGGCTTGCATCACGTGCAACGAAACGCTGACGTCAGAGCCAGGCTGGTGGATGGTTGATCTTCTGAATGAGACTGCTGTGGCCGGAGTTGTCATCCTCGCTAGCTCCGATCCATACAGTTTAGTTTCTATAACCACTTGGCTTGAATAATTTTTTATATATAAATTTCAGTTTTGCAAAAGTTGTAACTTTGTTTGTATTACTTAAAAAAAAAGTTATTGTGACACCACCGATAATAATTTCAATAGTGTGTTTAGCTTTTTTGTTCAGTTCAAGTTAGACATGTTTCCATTTCCAGATGCCCGCTACCTCAACGACTTCGACGTCTTCATAACATCGACGAACAGTTCAGATCCCAAAGACGGTCGGATGTGTGCCAGCTACCAAAACAGTTCCACTACATCACCTGCATCAATAATAGTTCTTGTCTGCATCAACCAACCAACACGAGGGAGGTACTTGGTGGTGAGGAGACAGCCGACTGCCTCTTTCAGACCTGATGCCATCGCCATTGCTGAGATCAGAGTTTTTACAAAATTTTCCGACAATCAAGCAGTCGTTGGTCCTAGTAAGTTAATAATTTTGATTATTTTTTAAATCTACAAAATTTTTGACATCCATTATTACCTACATACAGATTATTTTTATCAGTTTTAAGTCTGTAAATGTTGAAAATAATTTTGTTTTTTGGCTGTATATGCATACACGAATGTAAGCATGAGCTTTTTTGCTAAACACAGTATTAACGAACTGTAATGATTCATTTTCATCCATCTAGAACCGCGATTTTGGATATTTTTGCTAGAAAAATAATCACGACTAACAAATTTTGATGAAGTAGATGTCGTTTTCAACTTGTATGTTACATTATAATATTTTTGCTCATCTCGTTGTGGTCGCTATTGATTTTATTTTATGATGAGTAATGATGCTGTACTGTTATTTCTTTCTTCGCCTTGCTAGTATTTTTTTCTATAATTTGTTTATTTGTTTGCCCGCTTTTATCCTTTTATCGCTATGTTAGTAATATTTTTTCCCGCTATTTCTACAGTAAATTTTTATTTAAAAAAGTATTATCACCACTACACCATTTGATAGACACGACAGATGGCACAGCAACAAACGTGATTCCTAACAGTGGTATGAAACAATTTTTTATCAAGATTTTTTCCTCACTTGGACAATTTTATTATTATTTAAACATTATTCTGAGATCTTAACTCAGTTGGACATATCTCAGCATTATAAATTTAGGAAAATATTATGGTTTGTAGGTTTTCTATCTTGCTTTTAGATCTAAATTATATGTTGCATTGTTAACACGACATTCATGGGCAGGCCAGTCCTTAGGTTAATCCAGGAGTGGGCAAACGTTTTGCTGTGAGGGCCGCATTGAGAACTATTTTACTTTTGAAGGGCCGCATAGGTACTTAAATTGCAAATTTTTTCGACCTGGGAGAGAAATTTTTAAGATTTGTGGCTCCTTTTTTGTCATAATGTCTGGCTGACGATTTTTATTTTGGCGAACAGGGCCTCGCGGGCCGCATAAAATAGCTTCTTAGTTGCCCATCCCAGGGTTATTCAATAGGATTTAAGATAACGTTAAATCAATATTAAAATATACACGGCACAATATATTCTGCTAACAACAAATTAAAAGTTATTATAGATTAGATGGTTATTTTAATTTATTATTCATTCAATAACTGTTTGCCGATACAATTTAGTACATAAATTTAACAAATTCAAAGTAGAAAAAATTCAATTATATTTAATTCCATTGATAAATTGATTGGTTAAAATTAATTTGAATTTTTTATGAAAAATGAACGTTTTAACGTATTTGCCAGCTTTATTATTTCTAAACCATTTTGCAAAAATTATTTTTGGAAAATAATCTGATCAACAAAAGTTTTTAGGAAAACAGAATTTCTCGTTTTAGCGATAAATGATTTTGCGGCACGTAATGAGGAAGGCCGTTCTTTACACATCTTAAATGTTTGTACATATCAGCTAAAATTCCAATCTCTTTGTTTCATTATCTTTTAAAATCATACATTGGAGAAACTTTTGCTGTCAGAAAATCAAGCTACGACATCTAGAGTTATCCAGAGTGGAACCTGGCAGAATTTAGGGGCTGAACTGGCGGTGGATGGCAACTCTTCAACCTGGTCGACCACCGATACCTCCATCGATCCAACCTGGGCGGGACAGCTTGCTTGGTGGCAGATGGATCTCGGCGCAGTGCGAAATGTTACAGAGGTCACAATAACCAGCAGTACCGACTATACGAGTGAGTGATTCTCATAAACAAAACCAACAAAAATTTATAAAATTCAAATTATAATATTAAAAACATCTAATCAACAGATTCTCGATATTTGAAAGACTTCAGCATCGACTTATTGATGAACAGCAGGATGAACAGCATATGGACATCCGGAGCCACCCAGTGCTACTACTTCAGAGGGGATGTTGAGATGGGAGCTACTGTGACCTACAAATGCTACAACCCGACTCCCGGCAGATACCTACTCATCAGACGCGTCGATACAAATGCATACAGGCCTGATGCGTTGTCATTAGCCGAAGTGCAATACAAATATGTCTGAGTGAGACCGAGGCATTGTACTCATGGATATATATATAATCCATCATTGTATCCATGATTGTACCTTACGAAGATCATAACACTTAGTCTCTAAACATGTTTTATTTGGTTTATTTTGTGTTTTTTTAAATTTCAATAAATTCACTGAAACATATCATTTCACATTAATAATCATATTCTTCAAAGCATTTTCCTTTTCAAAACATTCGACTCCGATTCGTGAAACGTTTTCATATAAATTATGATGCTAATGATTTGATTGCCTGCCATTTAATTGAACGCAGCGCTCACATTCACACTAAAAAATATTATTCAGATTCATGATTACGTAATTAAATATATAGAGAACCATTACATATAAAAATTATATGTATTCGTGTTTGCACATACGCGCAGAGATTATTTATTTTTATTTATTTGTTTTTATTTATTTCCCATCAAAAATAAACGCGTTCATTCAATTGTAAAAATTTTTAAGACGCCATGTGCACATCTGTTTCAGTGGCGGCTGGCTGGCTGGCTGGCTGGCTGGCAAGCAATCATACGCCAACGTAACTTGCGTTAAGATTTTATCGCATGTCATATTGTAACACGTATTAACATTAACTTTGATTGATTAATTTAATGTAATATGTGTACTTATTAAAGTGCTAACTTCATCAATTGCTACGCGCTGCTAAGATAAATACGCTCATTATTATTATTTCATACTCTGCGGTGCAGTTAAATTAGAATTATTTTTCTATATTTTTAATGATCAATGAAGATGTGGTCATATGGATGAATATCACTGTTTGATTATATTTGCTTTTTTGGTCCTACAACGTGTTTTGTTTGATTTAAGAAAAAAAAAATTTTGTTTTGATCATTAATGATTGTTTGTGAACACAATAGTTCTACTTATGAATCTTTTCATTTAACTGGGTTTTCCGACATGTGCTTATTGTCCAGTTCGTTTCTTTCCTTTCTTCATCCTCTTTCTCGCATCTCAAATAAATAAAAATGGTAAAATAGAAAGAAAAATTGAGAGGTAGAATAAGACCCGTTTGAGTAAAAATATAAACGAGCCGCGACCATTAAAGATCCCACTAAAACACCATGAGCCACGGCATACCTGTAGAATGTAATGCAGGGTGTGAAACAAAACAAAATAAACACAAAAACGTATACGTACGTATGTAGCCGCGCAAACTCTATAAAATTTTATATAATAAAAACCTAAAAATATCGAAAAAAAAACTAACGTACGAACATTACGACCAAAAATAGGTCGTCAGCCACAAAAAACATGTTAAAAATTCTCCTTACTAGTCAATGGGTTGAAAATAATTGCTATTTAAATACATATTCGGCCCTCCAAAGGTCAAATAGTTTTCTATGCGACGCTTCAAAGGTCAAATAGTTCATAATGCGGCCCTTCAAAGGTCAAATAGTTCACAATGCTGTCCTCACAGCAAAATGTTTTCCCACTCATGACTTATTGGATAAAAGTCTCGTTTTTAACAATGAGAGTTATATGTTGGGTAATAAATAACAATTGGTCCTAATGGTGTTATTACAGACAAACAAAAAGATATGGTAAAAATGCCGTAAATTACAAAAATTCACACAAAAATCAAACTTCGACCAACATATTTGAAAGGCAGAAAATAAAACTGGAAAAATTGAAAGTTGATGAGGCAACGGTTAAAAATTTAAAAAAATAATTAGATAGTCAAAAATGAACAATTTTTAAACATTAGAAATGAGTTAAAAAGTTTGAGCAAGCAGCTTGATTTGGAAGTTGAAAAGACAGCTGACAACGTTCAGATACGTTGCAACAACCACTGGGTTTATTGTTAATGCGTAACATCTTCTTGAAATATTTTGCTACCTAATTTTGTTATGTCATCATATTTTTGGAATCTGAATTACAATAACGCTGCTGCTATAGTAACTATCTAAACACTAATTTTAATAATTTGGCTATTTAATTAGAAAAAAAGCTATTTAATTCAAATTAATTGACAAATTTGAAGCATTGAATTGTATAATGTTTGTCAGCTCTTCAACTTGCTATATTTAGTTATTGTAATAACTTAACTTAAAAACTAAATAATTTTTCAAATATTTTTATTTAACACAAACGGTTGCTGGCTATTAACACTATATAATGTTTGTCAACTGTTCAATTTGCTATATTTCATTATTGTATTAACTTAACATATTTTTTCAAATATTTTTATTTAACACAAACTGTTGCTGGCTATTAATATTATATAACACTAAATAAAATTATTTTTCCACTAATTATCTCACAGCTTGCAAATTTTTTTCAAATTAGGAGTAACAGCGAAAATTACCATCGATGTATTTAACATTATTATCTGCATCGAGTTTAAATTTAAATTTGTTAATTGTTTGATAGTAGCTGCAGAGTAATGTTTGAATATTTTTTAAACGGTATGTAACTTTGATGATATTTTAGAATTTGTAGAATTTTATTGAAACTGCTGAAAGTTTATAATATAACAGTGATTTAAGTTTTTGAATGTTTAAACTGAATCATTTGATATTAATAATGGTTTAATAATAGAATAAAATAACTCACACATGATCAATATGGATAAAAGTTTCTCTGATAAAAAACATAGGACTCCCTCCGAATCGCAAACACTTGGCTCCACAACTTCTTCACCTAACGACGACAGCTTGAAACGTTTAGCTGAAATTTTAACAAATTTCGACACTCGAGCGAGCGATTCGTTGTGCTGGAAAAAACCTGAAGCCGTTCAAAATACTGACAATTCAACTAATAATGAATCATCCGCTCCAGCACTAAGTACACAACGCCAATCGAGAACACAGGCGTTCCAGAGCCAGGGTAGCCAACAACTGACGCCGTCAACCTCTTTAAAATTAAACGAGACCAAAGTGAGCACAGTTGACGCAAACGAACTCAAAATCATCCAGCAGGAACAATCAAGAAGAAGATCACGCAAGCGGAGAAGAAGCAGCAAAAAATCGACGTCATCATCAGATTCAGGCACAAAAGAGAAAAAATTGAAAAGAAACCGCAGAAAAAAGCAGGTAGGTGGTGAAGTACAACTCACAAAAAGTCAAATCAGTTACCGAAAACATGTGAATAAAAAAAGACAAGAGCTTGAGAATTTGAAAAAAGAAGAAGAAATGTTTGGAGAATTAAAAAAAGATTTGGAAAGGCAAGCTGAGCAATATTCGAGCAGAATTTTTAAGCAATTTCATTTGAATTCGAAGCTTTCCAAATGGAAGTAGATAATTGACAAAATTTTGTGAGAATGAAAAACTGTCAGTAATAATAAAATGAGTTATGAAAATTATTATCATATTATAAATACTACTTATTCAGTTATTATGTACAGTTAGGAAGTTTCTACATTCAATGCAAACCTATTTCATTTTTTTCAAAGACTTAATAAACAACTTTTCAATTTGTTAATTATTGTACACATTTTGTTAAAGTTTCAAGAGATCTCGTGTCTCCAAATAATTGATATCATACTCACATATATACGCTGACTATATTTTACACAATAACATACCTACATAGAATATATCATCAATTTATTTCGTGTTATTATTTTGTAGAATAAAAATAAACAATTTTAATCAAAATCAATTAAAAAGATATTTTGAAAAGTTAAACCGATTACCGATATTTTTAAACCAAAAAAAATCATTTGCCATCAAACATTGCCAACTAAGAAATATATGAAAAAATTTATCAAACTTAAATGTGAATGATAATAAAATATTAAAAAACCTTTGTGTGCGTGTTTGTATATGTATGTGTGTGCGTGTATGTGTGTGTAATACATTATTGTCAATTATCTCAGCAATAATTTGTTAATAATGGTGTGAGAGTATTATTACCATTTCATTGTCCGTTAATTTTTACATGCATTACATGCTGCTAGCTTATGTTGCTGTCATATTTTTATTATTATTATCATTTGTGTTATTAAAATTTTATTTTCATTATTATTATTATTATTATTATTATTATTATTTCATAATTTTCCATATTGCTTTTACACGTAATTTTACCAGCGTTGCATCGTCACGGTTTAGTGAGTACCAACAATTTAATAACTATAATACATGTTGCTTAATTCTTAAACTTCCTTGTCCAATTACGTCAAACTTCCAGCTTGCTGCAATAGGTTCTTAAGCTCATTTTTTATACAGGTCTTCATCAACTTTAACTTATTTTTTCTATGTTTTTATTCTTTTCTAGAAGTATTGGCAGTAAACAAATGCAAGTGATTTCGCATGAATCAATTATAAATCTGCCAGACTGAATGTGATATGATGCGTGGTTCTTTGGTATTTCAACTCAGACCAAGCAATGCCAGACATTTTAACCATTTTGTTTCTCTATATCCAATACCTTAGATTCAATACTTATTATACCATTATCTTCAGTTTAATTATACACGCACACACATACACACAACACACACACAACACACACACATTTTTAGACCAAAAACCTTGTCTTAATTCAACAAAATGTCTTTTATGCCATTTTCATCAATTCAAACTATACACACACACACATTTTCAGCTCAAAAAGCTTGTTTTAATTAAAAAGAATAATTTTTCATCTCACAAGAAACCGTCAATGAAGGATTTCATCAAATTTTTTGTTCCCTCCCTTCAAAACATGAATTTAATATGATTTAATTCAATTAATTTAATTTAATGAACGAATTAATTAATTAGTTAATTTAATTTAATTTAATTTAATTTAATTTAATTTAATTTAATTTAATTTAATTTAATTTAATTTAATTTAAGGGTCCTTAGGAAAACAATTGTGCCATTATTACATTACAGTAAATAACGCCATTTCCTAAGCTTGGCATTACGTTATTTATACTTTTTTTTATTGTTGTGTTTATTATTATTACTACTGTTGTCGTTGTTTTTGTTGTTGTTATTATTATTATTGTTGTTGTTGTTGTTATTTGAAACACTATTGTACATATAAATATCATCACCCAAACAGTTAATATATAATTTATAGTCACACATACTGTTCTGGCGATTAATTGAAGGTATGCAACAAGCTAAAACAATAGCGTTATATCCCAAGACAGTTAACAATGCGCAAATTTTGCATTCTTCAAGAGAAACATCGTGGGGGTCAGAGCTATTTAACCTGATTTCTTTTCGTTTGGTGTGTATGCTGTTTTAGTGTTTGTTCAAAACAAAGAATTAATTTATCTTTTTTATCAATTGTTCAACTTAATTTATGATAATTATTAATAATAAATAATAGCTGTAGCACTGAGTAGATTTTGTTGAATAGAGCCAAAAAAAGATTACGGGTGTCATCATCTTCATCGTCATGATGATGAAGATGATGATGATGATGAAGATGATGATGATAAGCATAGCTGTTGTGGTACTTCTGTTCCAGATAAACGATGTTACAGCAGAAGGTATGATTTGTGCAATGAGTTAAAAGTTTAAATGAAACAAAGAAAAATTTTTCTTAATTAAATCAAATCATTTTCTTTATCATAATATAATGTCTATCCTTTTCACATTACGATATAACTGTTTTTATCATTATCACATCGAATCATCATCATCATCTTCATCTCCATCATCCTCACATAACATCGTTAACATTGCTTTTGTTATCTTTTTTATTATAAACCTACATTATTTTTTTCCCCATCACATTAATACATTCACCGTCGTTTTCACCATAACTACATAACATAACATAACAGATCTATCTTCAGTATCCTTTTTTTCAAAATCCTCTTCCTATCATCATTTTCTTCATCATCAAACTCGATAGACCGCATGCACATTATCATCTTTTCATCCTCATCACCGTATCACAACATCCTAAACAGACTGTACGCCAAGTGACGGAGTGTACACAGGCACTATGAACGTATCAGCGTCTGGAAAACCATGCTTTCCATGGCTATACAACGGGCCAATATGCTCCAAGGTGATGATAAAAAGAAGTATGATGAAGTTAATGACTACAATAAAAATGATAAAATGTAATTACGATGACGATGCTGATGCCAACGATGAGATTTGTGATGGTGATAGAAATGATGATGCAATGTATGATGTTGGAATTCGGTTCGATGATAAAAATAATGGCGAAGATGTTGAAGTTAATGATAAAGTTGTATGCTGACAGTGTAGAGAAATAAAATCGAAGAAAATGCTGACGATAATAGACACTTTTACAATTCATTCACTAAGTTAAAAGTTTTGTTAAACTTTAATTTCAAAGGGCATTGAAGGCGTTGATTTGACGAAGACACACAATTTTTGTCGCAACCCTGCTGAGCCAGCCGCCTGCCATCACGACAAACCGTTCTGTTATTTGGACGCTTCTAATAACGAATGGGAGTTTTGTGACCTGCCTACCTGTGGTCAGTTTGCTGGTGGACATTCGAGCGCCAAATATTATTTTATCTTCCCTCAACACTGTTGCTATCATTTTCACCATTTTTATCAATTTATCTAATTTGGCATTGTTCAAAAATATTCTAGGTGTTTATAAAAATTCGTTTTGTTTTAAATTTATAATAAAATATTGGGCCTTTTTAATTCTTATTAAACTTTATATTGATCTATTTTACAAAATAAGAAAAATATTTAATTTGCAATCAAAACAAGCTGCAACTGAACCAAGCAGGTTTTAAGCCACCAGCAACTTGCATGGAGGCCCTAGGTATGGGAGATGGTCGAATCATTGATGAAAAGATATTCTCTCCGTCAAGTTATAATTTTGATTTCCTACCCCAGCGTGCCAGGCTCAATGAAACAAATCAAGGTTAAAAATTTTCAAATAAATAAAACTTCAACTTGGCAAAACTGAAACCAAATTAAGAATTTTTATACCGGCAGGGCATGGTTTGAAAAATAGACTTATATAACGTTCCTTTTTCAATTATTCAATTTTCGCAATAAAACCTCTGTGATTTATTTATACGTGGATCTTTTCTTAGCTTTCTAGCAGTTGTGATTGCTGAAGGAAAACAAAATTTCCGTATATTACCTCCGTTAAATAATCTGGCTATGAGAATAAAATTGTTGAACTTTGTTTCTAGCGGCGTGGATAGCGAGTTATAATTACCCCCACTTCACCTACTTGTCCGTCGATCTTACGTACCCTTACACCATCACAAAAATTGCCATGGCTGGACACAGTCACTACTACATCACAAAATTCAAGGTTCATTTTGATTAAATAATTTTTAAATATTTAAGTCAAAATTATTTATCTGCAAGAAAATAATTATTGAAAAAATTAGTAAAGTTATGCAATTACTGTACTCTATGGTCAGGAATATATTATTTATTTACGAATAAGGTCATGTATTCCATTGACTCGTATTTGTGGCATTTTTATGGTACCGACGAAGACGACGCTGCACTGGCTCACGAGTTCGAAGGAAATCATGGCGGATATGACGTCAATGTTGTATATTTTGAGAAGCAATTTCAGGTAGAATTCGAGATTGTAAATAATGGAGAATTCGTTGAATTCTAAAACAAAATTTTAAAATTCATGATGCTTGGAGATCCCCGCGTAACACATGCAATGTGTGTGTGTGTATGTGTGTGTGTGTGTCTGAGTGTGTGTGTATGTGTATGTGTGTGTTTGAAACACAAGCGCCCAAGAGAAAATGACCTTTGATCTTTAACCTTTAAACGCATTAAACAGTCATGTAAATTATTTCAATTTAAGGCTGTCTTTGTAGTCATCATTCCAACAGCGTATATAAATTTGCCCTCCATAAGAATGGAGATATATGGATGCCTTTCTCTAACGACTGTTCCTGGAAAAGTTGAAATTCTCCAAGACATCACCGTAAAAAATTTTTAAATAAAATAATAACTTCTGTCTCTATTAGTGTTTCTTTAATATCTAAATAAAAATTTTTTTATTAAAATGTTTTTCACACATTCCCCATTAATAACACATTGAATGAACATTGGATATATTGCAACTTATCACTCCAGGCTAACACGTACTGGGCAGCAGTCAATAACCCGTACGTGATCAAAACACCAATAGTGCTGACTGCTGAAACAACGCTCCAAATCGATGCTGACGTTAAAATTGTATTTGCTGATAAATCTGCCTCACTCACTATTTCAGGTAATTCTTTTTTCTGTTTCTCAAATTTTTCTTACATTAACGTCCATTTACAATATCATTGAATGCAGGTTGTTTGGAACTGGAGAGCATTGAAGGTTTAGAAGTTCAAATGCTGTCGAACAACATTCTGAGCTACCGCACAACTTTGGATTATTTTGATAACAACCGACCTTTTTGGCAAGGAGTCATTTTTCCCGCAGACAATTCGGGTATAATTTTTGATTGAATAATTGTTTATTTTATTGAAAATCAGTTTGGGTGAAGTGCAAATTATTTTTTCAGCTTGCAACAACATGAATTTGAAACATTTATTCGTCCGTGGAGCCGGCATAAGAGCAAGCATGAAAAATGTGAATTGGGAGGGGTTCATTGTCACAAACAGTTGGCTAGCACTTTCATTCTCTAACAACGAAAACATAAATTTAACGAACTGCGTTATCAAAAGCAATGAGGTGAGATTTAAAATATTTAAATATAACATTTTAAAGATATTAAATTATTTTTAATGACGAACTCTCTCGCAGTACGGTGTTGAAATGCCTCGCGCGCAAACAACTTTCATCGAATCTTCAAAATTCATCGACAACAATAACGCAGGCATTAATGTTGGATATTCCAATCATTTCTCCGCATTTCTTTTATCCATCTCCAACACAATACTTCAAAACAACGATTACGGCATTTTCGCGCAATATTCTTCAGCTTGGTCAGTAACTGTCGACATACGAATAACAAACTGTTTATTTAAAAATCATCGGAGCAAAGGAGTTTTTTTAAACCTAATGTATATGTTTGAAGCGAACATTGTCATAGAATCAACAACGTTTGTAGCCAGTGAATTTTTTTTGTATTCTGATCAGACACCAAGTTCATTGAGGATATCAAACTCCCTGTTTAGCGAGTACAAAAAAGCAACAGCCGCTCTATACTTGGGTAAATGTTTGAAGACTCTGACTGTTGTGAATTGCTCGTTTATCAATAACTCATGGAAAACCTTGCTCATCGAAATTAATAATAATTGCCCTGAACTTGCTGTTAACATTAGTCAATCAAAATTTACAAACAACGTTGGTTCCGCTTGTTTGCAAGCGAATTTGTTTTCAAGATCTGTCGTTAGAATTGATTCTAACATATTTGCAAACAATTCGGTTGATTGGGTAGTCACGTTTAATGTACCGAGCGTATATGTTGTGACGCTATCTAACAACCAACTGATCAACTTTAATTCTCCTTACGAGGTCGCCTGCCATGCACCATACAATGCCGGACTATCTTACAAAGCCGATTTAAATTACTGGGGAACGACAGATGCTAAAAACATTTCAGATCGTATATTTGATTTCTATAAGGACTCCAGCAAATCTTTCATCCAAATTTCATCAATTCTAAAGAATGAATTCACCGACGGTTCGCTCACCTTACCACTGAGAAGATTTTCAACGCAGAATGGAACAGCAGGAGGTTTTTTTTTTAATTTGACCAGTTGAATCAAAATTTTCAAAAGTTTCATTAAAAATATGCATTTATAACTATTAAAATTTATTAGCTAACATCTCAAATTAAAAAAACTCGCGCGTTTTAAGGTTTCCTAGACGGCAATATAACTTTGCAACCTTCATTAGCTGGCAATGAATTAAATGTAGCAAGTAGCATTTATGTTAGTAATGGCTCATGTTTGATAATTCAAGGTCCGCTGACTTTGAAATTCAAAGCCCAAATTGGTCTGGTAATAGAAGGTTCGTTGGTTAAATAATTTTTTCACATTTAAAAGACTTTCATTATCACTTGCTGATACATATTTACACATCGGACAGGTGGTTGTTTACAAATTAATGGCAACGTAACCCTGACGTCTTTCGATAATTATAAATGGAATGGAATAAAGTTATCAAACAGCGTTGGTACGTTTTTCTGCATTTAAACATTTCAAATTGATCTAATACTGTAAAAGGTTTTATTTCAAAAGTTAATTTAATCCGTAATAAGGTACTATGATGAAAAATGTTCAAGTCAGTGAAACGCCTCTAGCCATTGAAGCTGTCAATTCACCTCTAAACGTATACGCTTCGACATTTAATGCCAACACTTTCTTAAAAGTGTATGGCCAAACTTCAATTGAAGTTTTTCTGGAGCAAGTGGTTGCTAAGTGTAGTGATGTTTGCATAAGTATTGAACAAGCCAAGAATATTTCACTATCGGTCATACATTCAGTTATTGATTCTGGAAATTATGCGATAGCTACTTACTCTGTATCGATTTTAAATTTAATTGTTGAATCAAGTACAGTCTTTGGTTCGTACTCTGCGTGTATAACAGGCTGTCAATATGCAAATATTCTTCTGGAGAATTCTACCATAATAAACTATTTATATTTTTCTGCCAACAGTTTTGTTAGTTGACAATTGAGAAAGAATTTTTTAGATTATTTCCATGTTTATTCATTACTCCATGTATAAATTTTCTCATATTATAGGATATAGTTATTCAAAATTCTTTCCTGAAGTCTGGTTGGGATTGTCTTGGTGTTAACTGGGCAAACATTCTCAATTTGAAGGCGACTAACAACACCATAAATTGTTTAAGATACACTCTGCACATCGATAACTTATATACATCAGAAAACGCTATAAAATTTACGGGTAATAACATACTTTCGGGATGTTTCTACATTCATTTGCGGAACCCTAAATTGATTGATTTAAGTGGAAATGACATAAAATCGCAACTAACGCACTGTGCTTATTTATTAGATTTCCAATTGTTTAACAATTACAATGCATTTGACCCGATCATGAATGGCAACGTGAAGATAGAGAACAACGCTTTCAGAGATATTTCTGGTGTCAGGGCTGATTCAGCAGTTTTAAATCTGATGTGTTTCGGTTATTATGCTCCTGAATACGTATATGCAATTTATTTAAGAAATAATATTTTTGAGAGGAACGATGTAACATCAGTCTTATCAACAAATTGTCTCGGGTTAACATCCAATCGCAACGTTTTAAACAATCCAAGTTCTGATTATGAAATGAAAATATTGAGAGAATTTTCGAATCAACATCCACTGCCTATTTATTTTGTAAAAAATTATTGGGGCAACGTTTCAGATCCTAAGTTAAGAGTTTTTGATAAATCAAAAAGTCCAAGTTTAGTTGAAACAATACTTACACCCTGGTTCGGAGATTCCAATATGACTACGTTAATAACGCAAACATCATCTTTTGAAAGAGGAAATGGCCAGATCGGAGGCATATTGGAAGAAGATTTTGTGCTTACCTTGAAAAAATCGCCCTACTCAGTTATTGAGGATATTACAATTCCTCTTAGTATAACATTGACAGTAGAACCAGGGGTCAAAATGAACTTTTTGTCCGGCGGAATCATAGTGAAAGGTTTGCAAACAAACAGAATTTATTTTATGGAAATTTATTCACGATAATTTTATGATTCTAAGGAAATTTAATAATGTCTGGAATTGAGAACAACAAAATTGAACTAGCATCAAGTTCAAACAGTTTTTTCTGGAAGGGCATTATTTTTCAACAAAAATTTTCCGGTTATGCTTGATTTTTTTTGCTCACTCCATTTCAATAATATTAACTTTTATTATTCAAATTTGATAAATGGAATATTAATTAATTATTAATCAATTGATGGGAAAAAATTTAAATTACGACTTATTAGCCACGAAAAAATTAAACTAGCTTATTCGGTTGGAACTACGCGCCTTCATACATAATCTTTACTATAAATATATAAGTAACCCAAATTTATTATTTTATAATTTTTAAAATGTTATCAAATTAATCATTACGCTACATGTTAAGCAATGAAATGAACACTCTTTATTGAAGATTGGGTAATTAAAAAAGAGAGGAATTGGTGGTCGATGTTTTACAAGAATACCTGGTTTGTTGTAAGTTTGAATGAAAATTCAAATAAAAAGTTTACCGGTGACATGTTATGCCAGGAGGCAGGCTATAGAGAGTCAATCAGTCAAACTGCCTTCGATTGCAAGTGAGTGTTAGATGAAACGTGCAAAATTTGGGAATGATGATAGATTGTCTTAAGTAAAAAAAATATAAATTTGCAGTTCGCTTTCACTTGAAGAACAAATGTTTGTCCCACCGTGCACCAACAACACCGGCCAATTTCAGAGAGTTGTACTGGAGTGCAACAGTCAGAATGTGTTCTCCATCCAGGAATGTAGTGTTAGCATCAATCAAGCCAGTCTGCAGTTTTATAACATAACGTGTCTCGACTTCTTGCCAAAACAAACTGGTAGGTGTTTCAAAATTTTATTTGTAGATTACACAAAGTTATAAGACACATCTACGTGTTAAAGTCCAAATGCATTTTGAATGTTTGTTACGCAAAAATTTTAAATTTGGCATAACAAATACAAAAAGTTGTGTGAAAATTTATGAAACTTTTATAGCAATCGCAAAATTTTATATAAAGTCAGCCAAAAACTTCCACATTGCAATTTGATTTACACAATGCTAAGCAGTAGTGTAGTTTATTAATATTGCTACATTTGATCAATTAATAATAGATAAATATGTGAGAGTGACAACTAAATCTGGCAAAAGACTGGCAGTGTCATCGACTGACGACATTATCCTGGAGTCAGAAAGTTCCAATGGGGATGATATCTTCGTCAAAATTACCCCATGCTTACTAGCAACCGATATCAAATGTTTTTCATTGATGTCTTACAATAGGCCAGGGTGGTTTATAAGGTAAAAATAAGAAACTAAGTGATATATTTTCAGAAAATAATAATTTTTAAATATTTTCATACAGAAAAAATGGAGAATCGTTAGTTTTAGACTTCCAAAACAATCTAAGACGTGCTGATGAATTTAATATGGATGCATCTTTCGTTTCAATATCCTCCATCAATCCATCAGATGTTGATTATATGTCTTTGAAAGTTTTGTCTTCCTCTGCTCCAGCTGGCAGCGTGATATTCAGAGAAAACGATACATCGTCGTCAATAGTCTTAGTCTCATCTTCGGATGCCTTGGTCGCCAGTAGTCAGAGCTTCTTCAGTTTCAAAATAAATGAATGGAAGGAATCGCTTTCAAAGAGAAAAAAACGTGCAGTTGGTAAGTACTATAAAAAAATTATATTTATTTTCATGTTCGCAAAGTCTATTTTATATTTTTAACATCAATTAATTTTTGAAAACATTGTATTTACAACTTAACAAATTATTACAACCTAGATAAACAATCTATACTCAATAATGTTGTAATAAAAAACCCAAATGTTGGCATATCGATCCAAGGCAAGTTGCCAATTTTGAGAAATATTGAAATTGTCAACAGTATTTCTCATGCTCTTCAAATCTATGGCATCGCAACTGGCCAACTGAACATTGAAAATTTCAATTCAATTGATTCCGGAGGGTCGGGGATTGTTTTCAATTTAGCTGATTATTCAAAAGATTTTCAATGTTTTATAATAAATTGCGCATTCGTTAACGCAAGAGGACAATCGATACAATGGTCTGGACGTGGAAACCTCCACGTGGAAAAATCAAATTTTTTAAATCTCTCAACGACTGCCATTGCTATGCGGTCCCGAGGAGATGCAATCAGTTCGTCTAAAGCTGCAGTCAAGTCGTCTCTATTCACGGGAAAATCCGTTCAAATTGTTTTAAGTTTTATTGGCATGGAATTTAATCAGCAATTGTTTCAGTATTTTCAGGTTTTACTTGAAAATAACAGTTTCATTGAATTGACGCAGGCCTATAGCGATTATATGATATACATGGCATATTTAACAGCAGATATAAAAGGGAACCAATTCGTTGACTGTACTTTCAGTCGCGTTCTATATCTTTCACCTATCAGTCAAGTCAATGTTAGTTATTTTATACTTCTTGTAGGCGTTTTCTTATAATTTTATTTATAAACAATTTTTTCAATTACCATTTTGTACAAAATTGTGCTAAAAGTTTGTTTATAAATTTTCAACCACGAATTTTATTCTGTAATTTTTCAAGTAAATAACATTAGTTAAGTTGAAATCACGATATCAAACTACGAAGTATGTGTATATAACCTGTTATGAAATTTGATGAAAACGTTGAAAACCGATTTTATTTTCAGCGTAATGCTTGACTAAAATGTTGATCAACATTGCAATTTTTTAATATACAATTTCAATATTACGGACTAAAATATATATTCACTTATTTTCTCTAGGTATCACAAAACCTATTTCAAAGCAATACGGTTGATTCTATCATTTACACTCTATACTCCAACAGCTTTATAAACGACAATATTTTCCTAAATAACAAACCTTTGGCTTGGTGGCGGAACTCTCGTTCAATAGAATATTATTCGTGGACAGAAACTAATTTAACTATTTTAAACAACAGTTTCTTCAACACCGACTTACCATTAGATGTGTTCATTGATGTTAGATGGAGACGGTTTGAGGGCAGTCCAAAAATAATTTATAACATAGCTAACAACAAATGGTCTCAAGCTAACTGGCCTGACATAATAAAAAGGTTTTTGCTTTTTTTTCATTGTCCAAACGTTATTTGCTGAAAACTAGACAATAAAGTATTTCTAATACTTTTAACAAAAATTTAGAATTATATGTTTCTATGTTGACCAAAGTCGCCATCTGGTCAATATTTGGCCCTTTATTTCAGTGATTAATGGCAGTGAAGTGATAACGAACAAACCTGTTTTCAATTTTTTTAGTCAAGAAATAGGTGAGAATATTTTAAAAACATTTTTAATCGTTTGTTGATAGTTCATGTCAATTGAAAAGCTAACAAATATCCAATAGAATTCGTTGGTGGAGAGATTACCTATTCGATGGCTCTCAACAACATCAGCAAGGGAGTCTACACTATCCAGTATTCAATATATGTACCGTAAGAACTACCTATTGTCCAATATTCAAAACTACTTATTTTAATAAATTTCAAAAATATCATGAAAGGGTTGATGTTACATTAACGCTGAATGCCGGTATAGAGTTGGTGTTTGCAAGTGGCAGAAGTTTTTACGTTGAAGGTAAGTGATATTTGTTTGTAAATAAAGACAAGTAAACATTTTAATTCATGTCTCACGTAAAAACTTTTTTTGAAAATGTAATTTAAAGGCAGTCTCGTCATAAACGCTACTGATGGAGCTCCCGTGATAATCACTAATGTGGATTCACTATTCATTATAACGAGTAAATGTATTATTTATCGTTTAGAAACTTATTCTAAAATAAACAAAATAAATAACAATTCAATTTTTTAAGGCGAGATTAGGCTTAGTAATGTTAGGTTTTTGAACATGAAAAACAATGCGATCATTAAAGCGGGCAAAATAAGTTTAGACAGTGTAGTTGTTGATGGGCTGGATGGAGAATTCTCGATGGTTGGTGATGTTATCCAAGTTTCAAATTCTACATTCAGACGAATTGGAAATGTTGTAACGTTTTGGCGTGGTAGTAATCTAGAAGATAAACTTGTCCAAAGTAGGCTCACACTTTCCGGTTGCGCGTTTACCGAGTTGGTAAACTTTCAACATTTTTTTAACAATTTTGAATTGTTTTATTTTATGGATAAATTTAAAATAAGAAATAATTCATCATGATAAAAGTTTATTACTTTGATTTATAATTTTCCAGCTCTCAAAATTGTATAAAAACCTCCACGGCTTTTGACTTGCTTGAAATAAACAACTGCACTTTCAGTCGAATATACAATGTTGCAGTAACATTAGATAGTTCGCAGTATAAAGCAAATTCGACCACACAAATTTCAAATTGTTCATTCGTAGACAACAACCTCTGCATCAATACTCCTGCTGATCTTAAGAGTGATCTAGAGATAAGTCGTTCATCATTTACACATGCTGGCATTTCATTAGTTTTGGACGATTGCGATGAAATACTACTGCAAGAAAACTCTTTCCAAGGCTCCCAACTTCCTTCAGTGCATATTATCAGGAGATGGACTGGTTCACTGAAGAAAATAAATGTAAAAGTCATAGACAACATCTTTGCTAACTCAACCGATTCCTCTGTCATTTTTGAAAATTTCTATGGAGTTGAAACAAATGTGTTGAGAAATAAATTTCTATCCAACATGGCTGATAAAACTAAAAACTATGCAAAGGCAAGTTAATTTCAATTAATAAATATTGAGAAAAAAATTGAGCCTAATTAAAAAATTTAAAAAATGATGCGACATCATGTTCTTTTTAACTAAACGGGTAGATAGATATTTATGTGAATAACTATCTCAAAATTATAAGTTATTTTACTCAAATTAATTTTTTTAATTTATACAAAAAATATTATCAACATTTCTAGGCTACCTTCAGATACCTTTATAGTTCTAACTATTACGAAGTGTACGCTGCATGGTCATCAACACAGTCTTTGATGTCGCAAAACCAGTTTGTTAAAAACGGCGGTAAGAACATTTTTGAAATTAGCAAAACATCTACAGATTACTCAGTCTTCGAGCAGTTAATAATTGACATGTTCAGTCGTACTAACTCCAGCCTAGACGTTCTGTCCAATGAATTTCTGGAAAATTTTCCATCTGAAGGAGTAGTTTCGTCAAACATCCCACCCGCCACTATTTCTTACAACATCTTTTCAAACCCTAGTGCCAAGTAAATAAGTTTTTCAGTATTATAACAAAAATTTAAATGTGCAGCTTACGTTGCGTTATTCACTACTTGGTGTATAAAGCGCTTCAGTCGGCAGATTTGGACAAGATCGAAATCAATTTTACAGAAATTTAGAAATAATTTCATAAACGTAGATTTTTACAAATTGAAAAGTTTAGATAGGATTTTGGGAAACATTTTAAGGGAATTCAAAACATCGTATCAAATCAAAATGGATGTTCTTGCTCCTTAAATATCTGTTTGTTATGGTGTCTGTTCTTGCGACCGTTAATATATAACTAAACGTATATAATTAATTATATTATAAACACACACACACACACACACATATATATATATATATATATATATATATATATATTTACAATATTCTATAAATTCTACCGAATGTTTGGCGTTAATATGTTTGTAGTTCGTTTTTTCGATTTTTCCCACTAAAGTTTTTTGGTGAACGTTTAGTTTATTAAAATTCAAAATAAACTTATTAAGTTTATTAATCTCCTCAGCATTGATAAACCATCCAAATTTATTGCCTCTCTGGATGTTGAATCACTATTCACAAATGTACCAATTCATGATACAATTGACATAATTATCAACACCGTTTACCACTCAGATATGGTTCCATTGAACATACCGAAAGCACAACTGAAGTCCCTTCTTCAAATTTGCACTACTGAAGCACCATTCCACAGCCTCACAGGCAAACTTTACAAGCAAATCGATGGTGTCGCTATCGCTATGGGTTTCCCCCTTGGCATCCTATTTGCCAGTTTTTACCTAGGACAGCTGGAGAATGAAACATTCAAAAACAATGCAAATTTGCAACCAAATATCTACGCCAGATACGTGGATGATATCTTTGTCTCCTATAACGATCCTGAACAAATCATCCAACTTCTTGGTACCTTAAACAAATCAAAACTTAGATTTACCATTGAAATTGAAAGGAACAACGTTTACCATTCCTCGATGTGTTGGTCACCCGTGGCGAAGAACGATTCAAAACCGCGGTCTATGTCAAAGAAACGAATACAGGAATTTGTTTGAATGGACAAAGTGAATGCACTGAACAATTTAAAGACAGCACAATAAAATCATTTGTGAACCGGGCATTCACACACTCTTCCGATATTGAAAATCGCGACGCTGAATTAAAGAGAGTCACTAACCTGCTTGTAAACAATGGATATAAGACTTACTCTATTGAAAAGATTGTTAAAGGCAAATTACTACACAGCAATAACCTTCCTAGTACCAACAATCAAGACAACGACATCATCTTGTATTACAGAAATCACATGTCAACCGCATACAAGGTAGATGAAGCTATTCTTAAACATATCATCAATAAAAATGTCACACCAACCAACCAAAATAGTAAAGTTAAACTCCGAATTTATTACAACAATAAAAAGACGTCTCGCCTAATACTGAAAAACAACTGCAGTCCTAGAGATAACCTGAGTTAAAGCGTAATCACGTAATATATGAATTTAATTGCCCTTTGACGGCTGTGCACGTCAACATGACTCATATATCGGGATTACTACTACCTCACTGACTAGAAGGCTTACGATGCATAAACAGAGTGGTGCTATCAAATCTCATTTGGACTCAACTCACTCAATCACAATTAGCCGTGATATCCTCGACAGCAACTCCAAAATAATATACCAGAACAGCAACTACACGCATCTTAAAATTGCAGAAGCAGTCCTAATTGACATCAATAAGCCAAAAATAAATATACAACAAAAAATGACAACCTCACTTCCAACACGGCGCTTAACCAACAACGAAAACAAAGAAGTAATAAAAACTAGCATCGTANATAGTGACAGAGAAGAATATCATGCTATCGATTAAGAAAAGGAGAC